AAAGAAGAGGAGGAGGAGGAGGAAGGAAGAAGAGAAGAAGGAGGAAGTAAGGAAGAAGAGGAGGAGGTGGAGGAAGGAAGGAAGAGGAGGAGAAGGAAGAGGAAAGAAGAGCAGGAGGAGGAAGGAAGAAGAGGAGCAGAAGGAAGGAAAAGGAAGAGGTGGAAGAAGGAAAGAAGGAAGAGGAGGAAGAGGAAGAGGAAAGAAGAGGAGGAGGAAGGAAGAAGAGAAGAAGGAGGAAGTAAGGAAGAAGAGGAGGAGGTGGAGGAAGGAAGGAAGAGGAGGAGAAGGAAGAGGAAAGAAGAGCAGGAGGAGGAAGGAAGAAGAGGAGGAGAAGGAAGGAAAAGGAAGAGGTGGAAGAAGGAAAGAAGGAAGAGGAGGAAGAGGAAGAGGAAAGAAGAGGAGGAGGAGGAGGAAGGAAGAAGAGGCATCCCAAACCATCCAAAAGGAGGCACGCTGGGCTTGGGTTTTCTAAAATCGGGTCCTCTTCACCCACCCTCCAAGACGATCCCTGTGGCCGTACCTCGTGGTTCTCGTGGCCAAGCAGGTCCGAGAGAACTTTGAGAATCTCGTTTGCAATTGTCACGCACATCTTCTTCCCTGGGGAGGAAAAAGTAAAAGCAGGCACGGGTGTCAGGGGTCAACTCAAAAAAACACCCATCCTGATTGGGAAAATACTGGAATATGCAGAAATGAATAGACTAACAATGACGATTAAAGATAAGACAGAGTCAGACTACGATGAAATCTGGGGAACTTTTTATGATTGGCTGAAAAGAAAACAACGGTTAAAAGATAGTTAACATCAATTTAGATGGAAGAAGAAAGAGCAGATAAGGAGGGAGACCCAGGCGACACAGTATTGAACAACTGGAGATTGTATAAATATTTATAGAAGTATATACCGAGAAGGTTAGATAAATAGAAGTATTAATGTAAGAGAAAATTAATCTTATTGTATATAATACAGGTAGAGAAATTTGGAGAGACGAGTTGCTCGGACATTACCCCTGAATTGTATCTGAAGAGGGATGAGAGGGAAGAAAGGAGAGGAGAAAAGAGTAAAGGAGGGGAGAAGGAAGTAGGAAGGTTGGAGGAGAAGAGGAGAAGTGGGGAGAAAGGGGAGGAAGAAGAGGGAAGTAGGGAAGAAAGAGAAGAAAGGGAGAAAGAAGGTAGAGAAGAAGGAGTATGGATACAGTGAAAGGGGAAATGGGCGAGCAACACCAAAAGTCATGTGTATGTATTTATTTCATTTTATTAAAAGTATCTTATATATAAGAATGTAAAAAGAATGTATGTTAACATCTGATAAATATCACGGTACATGTATGGGGGAGAGTTTGGAAAAATAAAAAATTAAAAAACAAAAACAAAAAAACACCCATCCGTCCCGGGATTGGCAGAACAGCCATGAAATCTAGCTTACCGGGTGGAACAAACCAGCAACGGAGGGCATTGCGCAACGGGGGTGCTATCTGGGTCACCTGAGGGACCCCAAAAACTGTCTGGACTGTTTTCTGCCTCAGCTGCCAAATACAGGTGGTCCTCAACTTACGACGATTCGTTTACTGACCATTCAAAGGGACCATCAAAAAAGGTGACACAACCATTTTTCACACTTACAACGGTTGTCACGTGATCCACATCCAGACCCTCGGCAACTGACGTGTACGGTGTTTCCCCAAAAGTAAGGCCTACCGCGAAAATAAGCCCTTGGCTTGAATTTTTTGGGGGGTAGGCCCAATATAAGCCCTACCCCAAAAAATGAGGCCTAGTTTAAGGGTGAGGTGCAGGCCTAAAAAAATCAAGCCAGGCCTCCATGGATCGAGACTTGCCTCGCCGGAAGGAGCAGCTTCATTCCGTGGCTGAGAATGCGGCTCCGGACTGTGTTTTGCACTCAGAGGTCTTCCGGAAAGGCCTCTGAGTGCGAAACGCAGGCCGGAGCCGCATTCTCAGCTGCGGAACTACCCGATTCTGTAATAGCTTTGTCCCCTATGCCAATGATGGCGAACCTTTTAGAGACCGAGTGCCCAAACTGCAACCCAAAACCCACTTATGGATCGTCGGGTGCCGGGTGGGTGTGGCCCATTGGCTGGGTGTGGCCAATTGGGTGGGTGTGGCCCATTGGGTGGGCGTGGCTGCGGTAGTAACGACTGGGTGGGACTAAAAAGTTCAATCATTCAATTCCAACTTTGAGAGATCTTTTTTTTTTCCCCACGAGAAGTTGAAATTGACTGATTGATTGAACCTTTTTTTTTTTTTTGCACACAGCGGCGGAGGCCTAAAGCGAAAAGGTTTTATAAAACCCAGCTGAAGGCCTAGACTGGGGCGACGACGCGCGTGCCCACAGAGAGGACTCTGAGTGCCACCTCTGGCACCCGTGCCATCGGTTCGCCACCACTGCCCTATGCCATCTGTCTGGTAAACTCGGAAGATTCGCTTTTCTCGCCATACACATGTATACATAACCTGAACTATAATAATAACAATAATAATAAAGTTGGAAGGGACCTTGGAGGTCATCTAGTCCAACCCCCTGCTCAGGCAGGAAACCCTATACCATTTCAGACAAATGGCTGTCCAGTCTCTTCTTAAAAACGTGTTGGAACATTCACAGCTTCTGGAGGCAGGTGGTTCCACTGGTTAATTCTTCTCACTGTCAGGAAGTTTCTCCTTAGTTCTAGGTTGCTTCTCTCTTTGGTCAGTTTCCATCCGTTGCTTCTTGTCCTGCCTTCAGATGCTTTGGAGAATAGCTTGACTCCCTCTTCTTTGGGGCAGCCCCCGAGATACTGGAAGGCTGCTATCATGTCCCCCCTCATCCTTCTCTTCATTAAACTAGAGATACCCAAGTCCAGCAGCCTTTCCTTACATGCTTTAGCCTCCAGTCCCGATAATCTTTGTTGCTCTTCTCTGTACTCTTTCTAGAGTCTCAGCATCTTTTTTACATCGTGGTGACCAAAACTGGATGCCGTATTCCAAGTGTGGCCTTACCAAGGCCTTGTAAAGTGGTATTAAGACTTCACATGATCCTGATTCTATCCCTCTATTAATGCAGCCTGGCACTGTGTTGGTTTTTTGGCAGCTGCAACTAGACTGTTGTTCCTCTGTGTCATATAATATATGTGGGTAGAGGCATTATTCTGTATGTATGTATGTATGTATGTATGTATGTATGTATGTATGTATGTACCATAGTCTCTCAAGACTGAAGGATGCCAACAGAAGATGTATGTATGTATGTATGTATGTATGTATGTATGTATGTATGTATGTCATATTTATGTAGTGTATTTCGGAGGGTGGTGACCCTTTGAGAGCTGTATGCCACAAAATTTCATTTTAACGTAAGCCAATCAGCGTACATTCAAAATAACAATAAAGTTATTATTCTATTCTCTTTTAGAATGAAGCTGCTCCTTCGGCCGCAGAAGATGTGGGTTGGCTGTTCAGGGCTGTTGATGCTGGAGGGGAGTGGAAATCACACACACTCACACACACACACACACACACACACACACACACACACACACACACACCGAAAAGAAGACCTGGTGCCTCTTTTGGAGGCCAAAAAGAATAAAAAAATAAGACCGAGTCTTATTTTTGGGAAAACACAGTATTTACGACGGCTGTGGTGTCCCCCGGGGGTCACGCGATCCTCTTTTGCGACCTTACTGACCAGCAAACTCAATNCGCTTAATGACCGTGGGACTGACTTAACAACTGCAGTGATTCCCTTAACAACGGCAGCAAGAAAGGTCGTAAGATGGGAGGAAACTCACGGAACAACCGTCTAGCTTAGCCGTGGAAATTTTGGGCTCTATTTTGTGGTCGTAAGTCGAGGACTATCTTTACTCAAGGGTAGAGTTGTGGGTTAGCCCGTCTCAACGCTACTAACATCGGATGTTTTTGCATTGAGAAGAGAGGGAAATGTAGCCATCTTTTCCCTTTCGCTTGTAGAGTTAGATGATGCTGGGAGGGGGGGATGTGAACGAGGGTCCAGCTAGACATAACAACACTAGACCTAGCCTGAGAATCAAGGTTATTGTAACCAGAACTGATAAGGAATTGAGGGCTGGAGAACTGGAGAGGAAGCCCGCACTTCAAGCTAATTGGGGGATGTGATTTATGACTGTTAATTGGAGGAGGGAATTGTGCTTTGATACTATGTGCCCAGGGGAGGGGAATTCAGTTTTTGGCTTCGATTATGTAAGTGCCTCAAAGTTCTTTTGAAGAGTTTCATCTGTCGGAAGCAGGACAGCCCGTTTTCAGCCACAAAAGCGCAGAGCTACTACCTGAGCTCCGCAAGCAGAGGTTCATGAGCAAAGCCACTGAGTAGGCCAGGGTGTAATCAGACATGGAGTCCGTGTCCTTCAGGGCCTCCACCAACCACGGGATGAGCCCGTCCTTCACCATCGCCGACTGCAAAGCCCGCCTGGGAATCCAGAAAAACATGAATATATTATAATATTCTAATTCTATCCTTAGATTATCTCTTCTAAGAGACATTATAACATATATTATATACACATATATAATATATAATAGCCTAATTGAAGAGCCTCCAAGAACACTCGCACCAATAGTGATAGGGCAAAGTCACTAGTATATAAGAATAAGAACAAGCCCCTCCCCCTTCTAGCACTGATGATGTTGCCTAGTTCGGTCATGAAACGTCTGCAAGAAAACCACCCAGGTCAGAGAGCACCAAGGACCCCACAATCCTTTCTCTTTCTTTCTTTCTTTCTTTCTTTCTTTCTTTCTTTCTTTCTTTCTTTCTCTTTCTTTCTTTCTTTCTTTCTTTCTTTCTTTCTTTCTTTCTTCTCTCTCTCTCTCTCTTTCTTTCTCTTCTCCTCCTCCTGGCAAACCCCACTCCCTTCTAGCACTGATGATGTTCCCTAGTTGGGTCATGAAACGTCTGCAAGAAAACCACCCAACTCAGAGAGTACCAAGGACCCCATAGTCATTGTCCTCCTCCTCCTCCTCCTCCTCCTCCTGGCAAACCCCACTCCCTTCTAGCACTGATGATGTTCCCTAGTTGGGTAATGAAATGTCTGCAAGAAAACCACCCAGCTCAGGGAGCACCAAGGACCCCCCAGTCATTGTCCTCCTCCTCCTCCTCCTCCTCCTCCTCCTCCTGGCAAACCCACTCCCTTCTAGCACTGATGATATAACCTAGTTGGGCAATGAAACGTCTGCAAGCTCAGGGAGCACCAAGGACACCCCACAGTCATTGTTCTCCTCCTCCTCTTCCTCCCTCAAAGCCCATTCCTTTTTAGCCCTGATGATGTCACGAAGGCGAATGGAGCTTTGCGCACGGTTTCCAACAGGCCGTGGCCCGGGAGTGGCTCACAGCCCAGGGCTTAGGGACCCCTGACATAGGCCACGCGATGGAGAGAAAGGATCCTACCACAGTTATCTGCTCCCGGAAGGAAACCAGAATCCTTGAAAAGAGAGATAACTTTCTTGCGCTGAGCTCAGGTGCTTAGCTAATACAGGGAGGATCTGATAGCGGCCTGGTTAATGTTTCACAACACAGGCAGGGATATTTTATCATCCAGTTATGCAACTCCAGTTCTTTTCTCCCCCCCCGTGAGCAATAAGCCATAAAAAGTGAGAAAAAAAATGATAGGTTTATTGTCCGGGAGCTATTATTAGCTCAGCTGATACAGCCTGGTTCACCTGCTCGGTTTGTCAGACGGTTATTTCACCTGCTTTAACTCCTCACTCGCCCAAATGCGCCTTGCACGAAACGCCAGCCCATCACACTTAAAAGGGTAACTCTAGTCCTCGTCATCATGAAGGAAAGACAGAAACACCCGAGGGGCAGCTTGTCAAAACTCTTCCATGCTTTGGGATCTTTAGCTAAGGATCTCACAGTTCTGAAATCCTTGGTGCTCTCTGAGCTGGGTTGTTTTCTTGCAGACGTTTCATGACCCAACTAGGTAATGTCATCAGTGCTAGAAAGGAGTGGGGTGTGCAGAAAGGAGGAGGAGGAGGAGGAGGAGGAGGAGGAGGAGGAGGAGAACGACGACGACGACTATGGATTCTTGGTGCTCTCTGAGCTGGGTGGTTTTCCTGCAGATGTTTCATTACCCAACTAGGTAATGTCATCAGTGCTAGAAGGGAGTGGGATGTGCAGAGAGGAGGAGGAGGAGGAGGACGACGACGACGACAACGACTATGGGGACCTTGGTGCTCTCTGAGCTTGGTTGTTTTCCTGCAGACGTTTCATGACCCAACTAGGTAACGTCATCAGTGCTAGAAGGGAGTGGGGTGTGCAGAGAGGACGAGGAGGACGAGGAGGAGAATTATGGGGACCTTGGTACTCTCTGAGCTGGGTTGTTTTCCTGCAGACGTTTCATTACCCAGCTAGGTAACATCATCAATGCTAGAAGGGAGGGGATAGGAGGAGGAGGAGGAGGAGGAGGAGGAGGAGGAGGAGGAGGAGGACTGTGTGGTCCTTGGTGCTCTCTGAGTTTGGTTGTTTTCTTGGCCATGATCTGGAGCATCCTTTTTCTTTTGGGATTCATTCCTTTTGTTTATTATTATTTTCCCTAAAAGTTAGCCAAGTATAAAATACAAGTAAAGAAGGTAAAGAGAGTGGGGAAGGGAGAAAAGGGGAAGAGAAAAGTGTGGGGTTAAAGGGAAATAAAAAATAGCAAAAAGCCTTAAGTCCCAACCCTGTTCAGAGCAGTGGAATAAAGATAGTAAGGTGACAGCCTCGACTGTTTACTTTTGCATACTTAATATATACACTAGCTATTGCTATGGCGACCCATTGATCTAATCAGCAACTCCCACCGAAGTCCGAGTTTCGTTTCTTTCTGTCTCAAGCGCAAAATCCAGAAGCAGTTTGCGAGTAGAAATGAAATTGGAGGCATTCTTTTTTTTTTAATTAAAGCATTTAGTTTAGCCGTATCTCATAGGTTCACTTTTTAATAAATACTTTTTTTGAGAAAGGAAGAAAGGAAGGAAGGAAGAAAAAAGAAAGGAAGGAGGAAAGAAAGAAAGAAAGAAAGAAAGAAAGAGGAAGGAAGGAAGGAAGGAAGGAAGGAAAAGAAAGAAAGGAAGGAAGGAAGGAAGGAAGGAAGGAAGGAAGAAAGAAAGAAAGAAAGAAAGAAAGAAAGAAAGAAAGAAAGAAAGAAAGAAAGAAAGAGAAAGAGGAAGGAAGGAAAGAAGAAAGAAAGAAAGAAAGAAAGAAAGAAATGAAGGAAGGAAGGAAAAGAAAGGAAGGAAGAAAGAAAGAAAGAAAGAAAGAAAGAAGGAAGGAGGAAGGAAGGAAAGAAGAAAGAAGAAAGGAAGGAAGGAAGGAAGAAGGAAGGAAAGAAAAAAGAAAGAAAGAAGGAGAAGGAAGGAAGAAGGAAGGAAGGAAGGAAGGAAGGAAGGAAGGAAGGAAGAAGGGAGAAGAAGAAAGGAAGGAAGGAAAGAAGGAAGGAAGGAGATGGGAATGAGAAAAGGAAGGAAGAAGGAAGGAAGGAAGGAAGGAAGGAAGGAAGGCCAGTTCAGAGAGCACCAAAGATCCCCCATCAAGACGACTGTGTGCATCCTCTAGGTTGAAATTAGGCAAACCACTAAATAATACAGCTAGCCCTCGACTTACATCAGTTTGTTTAGTGACCGTTCGAAGTTACAACAGCACTGAAAAAAGTGATTACGATCATTTTTCACACTTACGACCGTTGCAGCCTCCCCCAGTCAGTTCATCAAAATTAGATGCTAGGCAACCGGCTCATATTTGCCCAAATGGGGCAAAACTCACTTGATCATTTGTCTCGCTTAGCAGCGGAAAGTTTGGGCTGCACTGGGGCCGTTAAGTCGAGGACTCCCCGTAGTCCTGATTCTTGAGAGACTGCTTTGGGCCACAAAGTGGGTCTCTCTCGAGATGTCCTTCTTAGACAAGCCCGGTAGGCAGAGGCTCATTTGCACACATCACATTTCTTTGGGGCGGGGGGGGGTTGGACTCCTGAGCCGGGGGTTGGACTAGATGACCTCCAAGGTCCTTTCCAACTTTATTATTATTATTATGGATCATCGCACAGTCAGCCAGATGTTCAGACTGGACTTGGCATTTTTGTCTACCTATTGAGTCCTTTCCCAGGACCTGGGATAGGCAGATGTGGATGTTTGATGGTATTACAGATATTGTCGCAGGATGGAAGCAGTTCCTAGTAAGGCCGCCTTTTGCAATTGACTAATAGCGAATTTATCAATGCCGATGATGGTGTTCAAGTGGTGCTCCAGTTGTTTTTATTATTATTATTATTATTATTATTATTATTATTATTATTATTATTATTATTATTATTATTATTATTATTATTATTATTATTATTATTATTATGAAGCAAGGCAGCACCACAGCCTAGCCCAGGGGTAGGCAACCTCGGCCCTTTTATGACTGGTGGACTTCAACTCCCAGAATTCCTGAGCCAGCCATGCTGAGGGAAAAGGGAGGGGTTTCCAAGCTGAGCCATGCTGGCTCAGGAATTCTGGGAGTTGAAGTCCACGAGTCATGAAGGGGCCATAGTTCCCCCACGCTGGCTGAGGAATTCTGGGAGTTGAAGTCCACGAGTCAAGAAGGGGCCATAGTTCCCCCACGCTGGCTGAGGAATTCTGGGAGTTGAAGTCCACGAGTCANGGGCCATAGTTCCCCCATGCTGGCTCAGGAATTCTGGGAGTTGAAGTCCACGAGTCAAGAAGGGGCCATAGTTCCCCCACGCTGGCTGAGGAATTCTGGGAGTTGAAGTCCACGAGTCAAGAAGGGGCCATAGTTCCCCCACGCTGGCCTAGCCCAACCCACCCAGCTGCCCCCCCTCCCCACCGTCGGCCGCCCACCCTAATCCCTATCCCTCACCTGAGGCTGAGTTTCTGCAGAGCCCCCAGGACATTCTCCCGGGTAAGGGAGTACTTATCTTCCGCTTTCAACCTTCCTTCCAGCATCCGGAGCAGCCGGGGATTCTGGGAAAGGTAGAGCCGGCCTGGGAGGAATGGAAGGAGAACGAGAGCAATGGAGGGAGAGAGAGAGCGAGAGAGCGAGAGAGAGCGAGAGAGAGAGAGAGAGGCTCAATTGTGGTCGTAAGTGGAGGACTACCTGTATTGCCCGTTTTTCCCTCCCTCGGGCCCGGAGTCCTTTTGCATAGCACCCAGCAGATGCAGGGAGTCCTTGACTTACAACCATGTGTTTAGTGACCGTTCAAAGTTGTAAGCGTGAAAAACAGCCGTAAGTCACTTTTTTTCTGTGCCGTTGTAACTTCGAATGGTTACTAAGTGGATGGTTGTAAGTTGAGGACTACCTGTACTACTGAGTAGCAAGGATAAATGAGCTGATTTGAGGCCTGGCAGAGGTTTCTATGAGCTTCAGGAGGCCTTTCTCAGGTGAAGACCCCAGTATCGATTTGGTAATAATGGGTGTATTGTATTGTATTGTATTCTGTTCTGTTCTGTGTTCTATTCTGTTCTACTTCAAGTTCTCCTCTCTTCTGCGTTTTCTCTTTTCTCTTCTCTTCTCCTTTTCTGTTCTATTCTATTCTATTCTATTCCATTCCATTCCATTCCATATTTTCTATTCTATTCTGTTCTATTCTATTCTATTCTATTCTGTTCTGTTCTGTTCCGTTCCATTCCATATTTTCTATTCTATTCTATTCTATTCTATTCTATTCTATTCTATTCTATTCTGTTCTGTTCTGTTCTGTTCCGTTCCATTCCATATTTTCTATTCTATTCTATTCTATTCTATTCTATTCTATTCTATTCTATTCTATTCTATTCCATTCCAATATTCTATTCTATTCTATTCTATTCTATTCTATTCTATTCTATTCTATTCTATTCTATTCCTATTCTAATTTATTCTATTCTATTCTATTCTATTCTATTCTATTCTATTCTATTCTATTCTATTCTGTATTCTATTCTGTATTCCATTCTGTATTCTATTCTAAATTCTATTCTAAATTCTATTCTATTCTATTCCATTCCACTCCACTCCACTCCACTCCACTCCACTCCACTCCACTCTGTTCATTTTCTATTTCTATTCTATTTTACATTCTGTTTTATTTTGCGTTCCATTCCATTCTATAGCAGCAGCTGCCTTCATGCTCCACCTCTTACCTTCAGCCAAGGAGGCAAACGCATTGATGAGCCTGGCGGTGTATTGGCGAACGACCTCGCACTTGGACTGGATCAGCATCAGGAAGCTCCTCTGCAAGAGACGCACACACACACCCAATTGAAACAGTCGCAGTTAATTCTGGAGTACTCTGACAGAAAATAAAAGCTACAGCCATCCACACAGGTAGTCCTCGCCTTACGACCACATACTGGGACCAGAATTTCCACTGCTTAAGTGAGTGGTGCCTAATTTTACAGCATTTTTGGGGGCCACGTTATTCAGTGAATCATTGCAGTTCCTTGAGCAGGGAGTTGGACTAGAAGACCTCTATAAGGTCCCTTCCAATTCTGTTATTCTGTACTCTCCGTAAAGGGACTTGTGTACAGGTAGTCCTCGGCTTACGATCACAATTGAGCATCAAAGTTTCCGTTGTTAAGAGTGTTTTGCCCCATTTGACAAACTTTCTTGCCCCTAGTTGTTCAGTGAATCAACTGCAGTCGTTAAGTTGGAAATCTGGTTGTTAAGCAAATTGAGTTTCCCTATTGATTTGGCTTGTCAGGAGGTCAGAAAAGGTTATCGCGCGACCCCGGGACAGTGCAACCGTCATAAATAGGAGTCAGTTGCCAAGTTTTTCTGAACGTTGATCGTGTGGCCACGGGGATGCTGCAACCGTCGTAAGTGTGAAAAAGACGATCCTGAACCCCTTTTTTCGGCGCCGTTGTGACTTCAAACGGTCGCTAAAGGAACCGTCGTAAGGGTCAAGGATGAAAAGTTGGCAGCTGTGTGCCTCTGCATTTCAACTTGCCTTTAGAGTAAGGGGGGGAGGTGTTACTTTGGAGTGAGTTAGATGGAGAAACGAAACTTCTACGATTCGGCTGAAGACCGTGAAAGCCTGAAACCTTTTCAAGGACTCTAGAACGGGTGTAGATTTGAAGCGGACCATTCCCATAACAAAGTGAACTTGTTTCTATGGACTAAGTAAGACGTTGGGGGTTTGGCTGGGGAAAATTATTATTGTTTAAATCGATGAAGTGGTGTCTGGGAACCTCAGAGTTAGTTTTGCTTCGACAATAGAAAGAGTGCAGAGAAGAGCAACCAAGATGATTAGGGGACTGGAGGCTAAAACATATAAGGAAGGTTGCTGGAATTGGGGATGTCTAGTTGAATGAAGAGAAGGATGGGGGGGGGACATGATAGCAGTCTTCCAATATCTCAGGGGCTGCTCCAAAGAAGAAGGAGTCAAGCTCTTCTCCAAAGCGCCTGAAGGCAGGACAAGAAGCAACGGGTGGAAACTAAGCAACCTAGAACTAAGGAGAAACTTCCTGACAGTGAGAACAATTAACCAGTGGAACAACCTGCCTCCAGAAGCTGTGAATGCTCCAACACTGGACGTTTTTAACAAGAGACTGGACAGCCATTTCTCTGAAATGGTATAGGGCAGGGGTAGGCAACCTTGGCTCTTTTATGACTTGTGGACTTCAACTCCCAGAATTCCTGAGCCAGCCGTGCTGAGGGGAAAGGGGGAGTTTCCAAGCTGAGCCATGCTGGCTCAGGAATTCTGGGAGTTGAAGTCCGCGAGTCATAAAAGAGCCAAGGTTGCCTACTCCTGGTTTAGGGTTTGCTGCCTGAGCAGGGGGTTGGACTAGATGACTTCCAAGGTCCCTTCCAACTTTATTATTATTATTATTATTATTATTATTATTATTATTATTATTATTATTATTATTATTATTATTAATAATAATAATAATAATAATAATAATAATAATAATAATAATACCATGCAGTGAATTCCCAATAAACAATAAGATTTTTGGAGACAGAATGAACGTTTGTTTGGATTCTCAAGCTGGGTGTTGACAGCAAGTCAAAGACTCCCTGTCTGGGAGAAAAAGAAGGGAATTTGTGGAGTGGGATTAAAAAAAAAGTCAAGAGTTGCAAATCAATCCCCTTAGAGATGTTTTCAGTCTTTGATCTACATCGAGACCGCCCCTCACTAACCTGGCCGTTACTGTAGCAATCCAAAAGATCGTTGTTGATATAAGCCTGCAGAACCGTGTCCCGCTGTTCGCCCGGATGGGAAGTTGTCAAACGCTGCAAAAGAAACAAGAGACGTACCAGTGATCCTCTACGTAGGACCACAATTGAGCCCCACGTTTGTTAAGTGAGTTTTGCCCCAGTTTTTACGACCTTTCTTGCCGGAGCTGTTAAGTTAGTAACTCAGTTGTTAGGTCACTGTGGCTTAGACTATACTCAACGTCAGTACGATTCCGTTTTTCTGAAGATAGCTAGGTTTTGTTATACTGTCTGTAAAATTAGGCAGACCTTGGTCACCCATTGATTGCATCATTAATTGTAATATATTGCTATGACTTCTTCCGTGTGGTTCTGTTTAGTTTTGTTCTACTTCAGTGATGGCGAACCTTTTAGAGACTGAGTGCCCAAACTGCAACCCAAGACCCACTTATGCATCGTCGGGTGCCGGGTGGGTGTGGCCCATTGGCTGGGCGTGGCCCATTGGCTGGGCGTGGCCCATTGGCTGGGCGTGGCTGCGGGGGTAACGGCAGACTGGGTGGGACTATAAAGTTCAATCAATCAATTCCAACTTTGCAAGATCTTTTTTTTTCCCTGCAAGAAGTTGAAATTGACTGATTGATTGAACCTTTTTTTTTGCACACGGCGGTGGAGGCCTAAAGCGAAAAGGTTTTATAAAACCCAGCTGAAGGCCTAGGACTGGGGCGACGGCGCACGTGCCCACAGAGAGGGCTCTGAGTGCCGCCTCTGGCACCCGTGCCATAGCTTCGCCACCGCTGTTCTATTTGAATGTTTAATTTATGTGTTGGCCTTTGGCTGTAATAATAAAGGGATGGATTGAGTCAATGTGGCTTTCCACCCATCGCCTTTGCTTGCAAGAAGGTCGGAAAAGCTTGGCGGGCCGGGGAATTCTGGGAGTTGAAGTCCACAAGCCGTCGCCAAGCTTGGACACCCCCCCGATTTGTAGCGAGACTTACCCAGCGCAAAGCCTGTAGCAAGAAAGCCTTGAGGCGGTCACTTCCGTCGATCAGGTCTTTCTTTAACTTCTCATAATCCAAAGATGGCAGGAAGGGGACCTCCTGCACTTTCCTGCACACGAAAAAAAGCGCCCGTTGAGAAATGCAACCGACTCACTGAGCCCTAGAAAGTCGTATGGTTTTTATAAAGGAAGATAAGAGAACCTTTAGTATTGTCATTTTTTTACTGTGAGCATACTGGCCCACATTAAAAATGAAATTCTTCTGCCTGCTCTCGAAGGAAAGTATATATCTACCCACACACATACATAACACACATATACACGTGCTATATACATACATACATATATACACATACACCCATACATATATATTTTAATCCAGGGGTCTTCAAACTTGGCCCTCTTATGACTTGTGGACTTCAACTCCCAGAATTCCTCAGCCAGCCTCCATTTTGTTTGTTAGATTTAAGTCAGGGGCCTTCAAACTTGGCCCTTTTATGACTTGTGGACTTCAACTCCCAGAATTCCTCAGCCAGCCTCCATTTTGTTTGTTAGATTTAAGTCAGGGGCCTTCAAACGTGGCCCTTTTATGACTTCTGGACTTCAACTCCCAGAATTCCTGAGCCAGCCATGCTGAGGGGAAAGGGAGAGGTTTCCAAGCTGAGCCATGCTGGCTCAGGAATTCTGGGAGTTGAAGTCCACGAGTCATAAAAGAGCCAAGGTTGCCTACCCCTGAACTAGGGGTAATCTTTGATTTATGTCTAGAATTGAACCCAACATTTCCACTGCTAAGCAAGGCAGTTGTTGATGGGTTTGTGCCTCATTTTACCAACTTATTTCCCACGTCTGTTAACTGAATCACCGCAACGGTTCAGGGAATTGTGCAGTTGTTAAGCGATTCTGCCTTCCCCCCCATTGACTTTGCTCGTCGGAAGTCGGCTAGGATGGTTGCAAACGGTGATCATGTGATGGTGCCGCTGCCATAATGATGCGTCAGTTGCCAAGGGTCTCAATCACATGACATGGACATGCTGTGATGGTCGTGAGGTCCGGGTCTTAAGTCACTTTTGTCAGCACCGTCGTAACTTTGAACCAGTCACTTAAGGAGTAGTCGTAAGTCAAGGGCTACCTGTTCGAGTCTGGGCCTATGGGGCTTATCTCTTCACAAACCACCCACGTTTTATGACCTGACAAATAAGAACAAAGAGGCAATCAGAGAACTTACGCCGGGACCAACGATGCTCTTAACATGGTCGAAGCCTGTGTGATTGGAAGGAGAGAGAAAAAGAAAAATCAGAATATATGTAAGCAAAGCCCACTTTACCTAGCTCAGGGGTAGGCAACCTTGGCTCTTTTATGACTCGTGGACTGGCTCAGGAATTCTGGGAGTTGAAGTCCACCAGTCATAAAAGGGCCAAGGTTGCCTACCCCTGTCCTAAGTTGTCCTGTTCTAAGAGGTGAGCCTCCTAGTCCAGGGGTAGGCAACCTTGGCTCTTTTATGACTGGTGGACTTCAACTCCCAGAATTCATGGCTCAGCTTGGAAACCTCTCCCTTTCCCCTCAGCATGGCTGGCTCAGGAATTCTGGGAGCTGAAGTCCATGAGTCATAAAAGAGCCAAGGTTGCCTACCCCTGGTCTAGATTATACCAATGTGTTCCCCAGAACGATTAAGTCGTTTGTTATAATGAACATTCCTTATTATGGAACAATACTTTCTAATAAATACTCCAAATACCTGGACTTCAATGGGAAGACTTTTTTGGCTGGGGAATTGAAAGGAATTGGTGTAATAGGGCATAGAATTACAGGGTTGGAAGGGACCTTGGGAGGTCATCTAGTCCAACCCTCTGCTCAAGAAGGATTCTATTCTATTCTATTCTATTCTATTCTAATTTCTATTCTATTCTATATTCTATTCTAAATTTCTATTCTATTCTAAATTTCTATTCTATTCTATTCTAATCTAGTCTATATTCTATTCTAATTTCTATTCTATTCTATATTCTATTCTATTCTAATTTATATTCTATTCTAATTTATATTCTATTCTATATTCTATTCTATATTTAATATATTCAATATTTAATATTTATTCGCTACGTATATGTAGGGATGTGGGTCTATACATATGTTGTTCATAGTATGTTTAGGTGTGTGTCATGCATGTGTTTCCCTTTGAGAGCGGGCAACTAAATCTCATTTTTGATGTGTGCCATTGGGCCCACAGTATAAAAATGACAATAAAGGTTATTCTATTCTATTCTATTCTATTCTATTCTATTCTATTCTATTCTATTCTATTCTATTCTATTCTATCCCCTCTTCTTTGGGGCAGCCCCTGAGATATTTGAAAACTGCTATCATGTCACCCCTGGTCCTTCTTTTTGTTAAACTGGACGGATCTGTATATATCTTTCCAGCCTTGCTTCTGGACACTAGACAGAATATTCCTGCGAAGGCTTTTTCGAAAAGCCTGGTGGGGGCCATCGATTCCCGGTCTTTCTGACCCCCAACTGTCTCCTCTCTCCCTTTCATGGCAGGTTCTATAATCGGTGCCCATTATAAGCCGCCGTGCTGGAAAAGGCCGCGAGGACAAAGGCAAAAAAATGTCCAAAGACAGATCGCATTACTCCTCTTCCGCGTACCATCCAAACGCTCGGGCCGACCACAAAGCTAGGCTATGTAACCCAAGAGCCTCGTTCTCACAAACGAAAAAGTGCAGGCTGGCATACCAGAAAGCGGCTTCGTAGGAGGCGTCCATCCAGACGGGATGATACCTGATAGGCAATTAAAAGGGCCCCCCCCAGGGCACAATGCTCGCCATTCACGGCAGGAGCAGGTGGCAGATAGATTGCGTCCGATCGCACTCCGTTGATCTGTCACTCACTTTGATTTATGTCCCTGGATATTTTGCAATAACCGACACTCACCCCCACCCACTCCGTGTTTCTTAGGAGGCACCTGCAACCCTGTTCATTCTAGGGACATTGGCTCACAGGACTTTAAAAGGGGTGTGTGCACCAGTTCATAAAATCAAGCCATAAAGGGGTGGGTTTTTAACTTGCTTTGTGCTTAATGTAATACCATGTTTCCCCCCGAACGTAAGACCGGGTCTTATATTAATTTTTGCTCCCAAACTAGGGCTTATTTTCCGGTTAGGGCTTATATTCGGAGACATATGGTACTAGATAATATTATTATTATTATTTTTTCTTCTTCTTCTTCTTCTTCTTCTTCTTCTTCTTCTTCTTCTTCTTCTTCTTCTTCTTCTTCTTCTTCTTCTTCTTCTTCTTCTCCTCCTCCTCCTCCTCCTCCTCCTCCTCCTCCTCCTCCTCTTCTTCTTCTTCCTTCTTCTTCTTCTTCTTCTTCTTCTTCTTCTTCTTCTTCTTCTTCTTCTTCTTCTTCTTCTTCTTCTTCTTCTTCTTCTTCTTCTTCTTCTCCTTCTCCTTCTTCTCCTTCTCCTCCTCCTCCTCCTCCTTCTTCTCCTTCTCCTTCTCTCTGAAATGGTATAGGGTTTCCTGCCTGAGCAGGGGGTTGGACTAGATGACCTCCAAGGTCTATTCCAAATTCTTCTTCTTCTTCTTCCTCTTCTTCTTCTTCCTCTTCTTCTTCTTCTTCTTCTCCTTCTCCTTCTGATGTTGGAAAGGACCTTGGCAGTGCTGGGATTTGGACAGTTTGCACCGGTTCGGCAGAACCGATAGCTAATTTTTGTTGCCCAGGCCCAGAATGGACTTCCGGAAGCGGCATCCACACAGAGAACCGGTTGTTCACCTATTTGAATCCCACCACTGGACCTTGGAGGTCATCTAGTCCAACCCCCTGCTCAAGCAGGAGACCCTATACCATTTCAGACAAATGGCTGTCCAGTCTCTTCTTAAAAGCCTGTAGTGATGGAGCATTCACCGCTTCTGGAGGCAGGTGGTTCCACTGGTTAATTGTCCTAACTGTCAGGACGTTTCTCCTTAGTTCTAGGTTGCTTCTCTCCTTGATTAGTTTCTCCATCCGTTGCTTCTCATCCTGCCTTCGGGCTCTTTGGAGAAGAGCTTGACTCCCTCTTCTCTGGGGCAGCCCCTGAGATACTGGAACACTGCTATCCTGTCCCCCCTCGTCCTTCTCTTCATTAAACTGGACATACCCAATTCCAGCAACCCTTCCTTATATTCTTTAGCCTCCAGTCCCCTAATCATCTTTGTTGCTCTTCTCTGCACTCTTTCTAGAGTCTCAACATCTTTTTTACATCGTGGTGACCAAAACTGGATGCAGTATTCCAAGTGTGGCCTTACCAAGGCCTTGTAAAGCGGTATTAATACTTCACGTGATCTTGATTCTCTCCCTCTGTTAATGCAGCCCAGCACTGTGTTGGCCTTTTTGGCAGCTGCAGCACACGGCTGGCTCCTATTTAAGGGATGGTCCACTAGGACTCCGAGATCCCTCTCACAGTTGCTACTATTGAGCCAGGTACCCCCTATACCAGGGGTAGGCAACCTTGGCTCTTTTATGGCTCGTGGACTTCAACTCCCAGAATTCCTGAGCCAGCATGGGGGAACTTCTCTCCTTGATGAGTTTCCATCCGTTGCTTCTTGTGCTGCCTTCAGGCACTTTGGAGAATAACTTGACTCCCTCTTTTGGGGGGCAGCCCCTGAGATATTGGAACACTGCTATCATGTCCCCCCTCATCCTTCTCTTCAGTGAATCCCTTGCAGTTGTTAAGTTAGTAACATGGCCGTTAAGTGAACCTGCCTCCCCCCCCCCCCGTTGATTTTGCTTGTCGGAAGCTCGCAAAAGGGAATCACGTGACCCCGGGATGCTGCGACCGTCGTAAATGTGAGTCAGTTGCTGAGTGTCTGAATTATGATCCCTTGATCCTGGGTGGGCTGCCAAGGTAGTACGAAAAATGGTCCTAAGTCACTTTTTTTAATAGCGCCAACGTAACTTCAAACGGACACTAAACAAATGGTTGTTTAAGTCAAGGCCTGCCTGCAGTTTTTGAGATTAAACAGGTGATGTCAATGCTGCTAACATCGGATGTTTTTGCTTTGACAACAGTTGGAGATGCAACCATTTTCTTCTTATGTTTTACTTTTAGAGTTAGATGATGCTGGGGGGAGGAATGTGCATGAGAGTTTAGCTAGACATAGCAACACTGGGCCTAGCGTGAGAATCAAGGTTATTGAAATAAGAGAGGATAAGAATTGGCGGGCTGGAGAACTGGAGGGAGAGTTTCAAACTAATTGGAGAATGTGATTTATGACTGTTAATGGGAGGAGGGAATTGTGCCTTGATTCTATGTGCTCAGGGGAGGGGAATCCAGTTTTCGGCTTCGATTGTGTTAGTGCCGATGCTACACTTCTCAAATAAGATTCTTTAAGGTAAACAATGCCTGGAAGTTCTTTGAAGAGTTTCATCTGTCGGAACCAGGGCAGGTGAATTGTAAACCGTTTTAATTTTGTGGGTAATTTTATACGTCGCGAAGCATGCAGAAATGGAACAACATTAAAATGCCAGCCAACAAACATCTTTTCCCCCCGATGAAAAACCTGATTAACTGAACAGACCAAAAGAATTCTAATACAGACATTTAAAATCACCTGGGTGACAGTTCACGCTCAAGGAGAGGCTTAGCAATAAATACATAATGCGCCACACAGAGGCATGATCTGACTCGTCATTGTCGACCGCTGTTTTTTTAAATTTGGTTAAATTTTCCATGCAATTTATTCACAGGTATCGGGCGGGCCATACAAGCATGCTCCAGCACAAACATAGGAGGAGGAGGAGACAAGATACTGTAGGTTATACAGAGAAATGTGAAAATATTAACAAAAAAAAAGGAGATATGGGAACTTACATATTCATCCTCACAGGGGCTCACACAGCCATATTCCTTTAGAGGTAAACAGGCACACATTTTAAAAAAAGAGAGATTAAGAGAGAGAGAAAGAAAGAAAAAGTTAAAAGAGGAAAACCACAGAAATAAAACATAACATTTAAATAAATGTTTTTTAAAAAAATGAAAAAACGGATTAAAAAGAGAAAACACACTGGTAAGATACATGCACAGAGACTTGGATTTCTTAAATGTTTACGTAGGGGTCCTTGGTGCTCTCTCTCTTGAGTTGGTGGTTTTCTTGCGGACGTTTTTCCTTCCCCAACTCCCTTCTGGCACGGATGAGGTTACCTAGTTGGGTAATGAAACGTCCGCAAGAAAACTCTCGTTCTTCTCCTTCTCCTTCTCTTCCTCCGCCTTGCACACCCCACTTCCTTCCAGCATTGATGGCGTTACCTAGCTGGGTCCTGAAATGTCTGCAAGAAAGGCGCCCAGTTTCAGAGAGCACCAAGGACATCAAAAGCCTTCTCCTCCTGCTCCTTCCCACTTCTTGCACTGACGACGTTACCTAGCTGGGTCATGAAAGGTCTGCAAGAAAGCTTCCTAGCTCAGAGCGTACCAAGTAAATCCTCAATTTACGGCGGTTCATTTAGCGACCGCTTGAAGTTACGACGGCACTGGACAAAAGGGACTTAGGCCCATTTTGCACACGTTCTGACTGTTGCAACGTCTCTGTGGTCACGTGATCAAAATTCAGGCACTTGGCAACTCGTTCGTATTTACGACGGCGGCCGTGTCCCGGCGTCCCCCTTTCGCGACCTTCTGACAAGCAAAGTCACTGGGGGAAGCCAGACTCGCTTTGCAACCGTGCTACTGACTTTAACAACCGCAGTTTCACTTAACAACCGCGGCAAGAAAGGTCGTAAATTGGGGCAAAATTCACTTAACAAATGTCTCTCTTAGCTACTCTGCAAACCTCATCCCTTCTAGCACTGATGATGTTACCTAGTTGGGTAATGAAACGTCTGCACGAAAACAATCCAGCTCAGAGAGCACCAAGGACCCCACAATCCTTCCTTCCTTCCTTCCTTCCTTCTTTCTTTTTCTTTCTCTTCTCCTCCTCCTCTCCACAAGCCCCCCTCCCTTCTAGCACTGATGATGTTGCCTAGTTGGGTCATGAAACGTCTGCAAGAAAACAACCCAGCTCAGAGAGCACCAAGGACCCCACAGTACTCCTCCTCTTCCTCCCCCACCAACCCCTCTCCCTTCTAGCACTGATGATGTTACCTAGTTTGGTAATGAAATGTCTGCAAGAAAACAAGCAAGCTGAGAGAGCATGAAGGACCCCACAGTCCTTTCCCTTTTCCTCCTCCTCCTCCTCCTCCTCCTCCTCCTCCTCCTCCTCACTCCACAAACCACATCCCTTCCAGCACTGATGATGTTATCTAGTTGGGCAATGAAACGTCTGCAAGAAAACAACCCAGCTCAGAGAACACCAAGGACCCACAATCCTTCCTTCCTTCCTTCCTTCCTTCCTTCCTTCCTTCCTTCCTTCCTTCCTTCCTTCCTTCCTTCCTCTTTCTTTTTCTTTCTTTCTCTTCTCCTCCTCTCCATAAGTCCCCCTCCCTTCTAGCACTGATGATGTTACCTAGTTGGGCAATGAAACGTCTGCAAGAAGACCACCCAACTCAGAGATCACCAAGGACCCCACAGTTCAACCCTGAGTTGCAAAGATTCTTGTTTATTGCTACAAGTTCATCCGTAATTGTACACTCAGTGCACACATCTACATTTGATGAGTTTTGTTGCCTACTGGGAAAAAAGATTATTGAAAAGTCAGTTGGATGAAGCTATTCTTTAACGATAAAGGGAAGCGTGGATGAAAAACAAATGCTTTCCACCATGCTCAAAGGCAACAGGGGAAGGGCACGCAGAGGAGAAGGCAGAGATTCTAGAGAATCCTTTGGCTTTTAAAAAGCCAATATTCTGACGTAGGCCGCTCAGTGATAAAAGGGGGCAGGCTGTTACACAAATCAACAACAACAAAAAAAAGCTGTGCCACCCCCCATACCAGGAGCCACCAACAGGAAAGAATGAAGAAATTTGCTATTTGAGCTTCAATTAGGGATTGGCAGCCCACCGCGAAAACGTTGTGTGCATTGTGTGCATCGCTATTGAACTGAAGGCAAGAGAGGATGACAGCTCAAAGTGATGGATTTAGAGTCAAGAGCTCTTTACCAGAAATCTACCCTTAAAAAAACAAAACAAAAAACAAAAAAAGCGCCGGGAGATCAATGCACATATTTATATGGCTTTCTTTCAGTTGTGAAAACAAAACAAGCTGAATCAAAGCCGACCTTTGAAAGCGAGGAGAAACGGGGATTCTGCTCGGGCAAACACAACAAATGTGTTGGCCGTGGACTTTTCAAGATGGTTCAGCATCCTCACGCTGGGGACCGGGGACACACGCACACCCTTGGGAAATAGTTTGTGCTTTGGAGCTCAGAAGATCCACTCAGAGTGGGTTTTTTTGCTTTGATTAATTAGCTAACCAGTGCCAGTGGGGTTCCTATAATCATGAAGCTGGAAGGGACCTTGGAGGTCTTCTAGTCCAACCCCCTGGAGTCCTTATATCATCCTGGACAAATGGTTGTCTAATCTTCTTTTGAAGGCCTCCAAAGATAGGAGCATCCACAACTTCCAGGANAGCCTTCTCGTCGTTAGGCTCAATATACCTAGTTCAGGGGTCTTCAAACTTGGCCCTTTTATGACTTGCGGACTTCAACTCCCAGAATTCCTCAGTCAGCATGGGAGAACTATGGCCCCTTCATGACTCGCGGACTTCAACTCCCAGAATTCCTCAGCCAGGCATGCCTGGCTGAGGAATTCTGGGAGTTGAAGTCCACAAGTCATAAAAGGGCCAAGTTTGAAGACCCCTGACCTAGTTCCTTTAGCTCAGGGGTAGTCAACCTTGGCTCTTGTATGACTCGTGGACTTCAACTCCCAGAATTCCTCAGCCAGCCATGCTGAGGGGAAAGGGAGAGATTTCCAAGCTGAGCCATGCTGGCTCAGGGATTCTGGGAGTTGAAGTCCACGAGTCATGAGGGGGCGATAGTTCCCCCATGCTGGCTGAGGAATTCTGGGAATTGAAATCCGCAAGTCATGAAGGGGCCATATTTCCCCCATGCTGGCTGAGGAATTCTGGGAGTTGAAGTCCACAAGTCATGAGGGGGCCATAGTTCCCCCATGCTGGCTCAGGAATTCTGGGAGTTGAAGTCCACGAGTTATAAAAGAGCCAAGGTTGCCTACCCCTATTCTAGAGTCTCAACATCTGTTTGGAAGAAAGGAGCGTTGCCAGTACAGTGTTCTACCTAAGAACATCTGTCCGGTGGAACATCAGCCAGGAGAACCCGGCTATGAGCATACAGGACACCACACCCAATATCACTACGGGGTATGTCAGCTGAACTTTGACCAACAATTAAACAAGACATTGCTTACCTCAAATTGAGATAAGGTGAGAACTAAGAGTTTGCTTCTCACGGTTTCTGGCTAGACTAGAGTAGATAGCAAGTTGTTCTAGACCAGGGGTAGGCAACCTTGGCTCTTTTATGACTGGTGGACTTCAACTCCCAGAATTCCTCAGCCAGCGTGGCTCTGCTTGGAAACCTCTCCCTTTCCCCTCAGCGTGGCTGGCTCAGGAATTCTGGGAGTTGAAGTCCACCAGTCATAAAAGAGCCAAGGTTGCCCACCCCTGCCCTAGGCCTAGGCCGCTTTATGACTCGTGGACTTCAACTCCCAGAATTCCTGAGCCAGCCAAGCTGAGGGGAAAGGGAGAGGTTTCCAAGCTGAGCCATGCTGGCTCAGGAATTCTGGGAGTTGGAGTCCACCAGTCATAAAGGGGCCATAGTTAGCACCCATGCTGGCTGAGGAATTTTGGGAGTTGAAGTCCGCCAGTCATGAAGGGGCCATAGTTCCCCCATGCTGGCTCAGGAATTCTGGGAGTTGAAGTCCGCCAGTCATAAAAGAGCCAAGGTGGCCTACCCCTGGGCTAGACTCTGATCAGTCGGAAGCTGCAAGTCAGCTGTTCAAAGACATCCTCTGTTTTCTCACGTTAATGACACAATGTTCTTCCTGGCAACTAAGGTTGAAGGGCACGACAACCTGTGTAGGTACTCCTCGATTTAACGACCGCAGTTTATTTATTTATTTATTAAATTTATATACCTCCCTATCTCCCTTGCGGGATTCAAAATTGAGTTGAGCTCAAAATTCCCACTGCTAAGCACGGGGGTAGTTAACCGAGTTATGCCCCATTTTACCACCTTTCTTCCACGGTTGTTAAGCAAATCACTAGCGTTGTTAAGTGAATCATGTGGTTGTTAAGTAACTCTGGCTCTGCCCCCCCCCATTGACTGCGTTTGTCAGAAACCCCCTAGGAAGGTTGCAAATGACAATCCCAAGACCCCGGGACACTGCAAAGATTGTAAATGCATGCTGGCTGCAAGAGAACAACCAAGCTCAGAGAGCACCAAGGACCCCATGGTCCTCCTCCTCCTCCTCCCCTTTGCAAAACCCACCCTGTTCTAGCACTGAAGATGTTATCTAGCTGGGTAGTAAAATGTCTGCAAGGAAACTACCAAACTCAGAGAGCACCAAGGACCCCACAGTCGTCGTCGTCGTCGTCGTCGTCCTCCTCCTCCTCCTCCTCCTCCTCCCATTTGCAAAACCCACTTCATTCTAGCACTGTAGATGTTATCTAGTTCAGGGGTCCTCAACCTGTGGGATGTGGCCATTACTGGGCCGTGGCTGCTTGGCTACCGGGCCACGTGAAGGGATGGCCCCCACACTCGCGCTAGTGCCGCCCCGAGCTTCCTCCCAGCGTGAGCACCACCCCGCCCCGAGCATCCCACAGGTGCTAACGCCACCCCAAGTATCCCGCCAGCGTTAGCACTGCCCCGCCTCCGAGCATCCCACCGGCGCTAGCGCCGCCCTGAGCATCCCGCCGGCGCTAGTGCCCCTGCAAGCCCTATTTGCATGTGCACATGCGCTCGTGC